CGACCGCATGACGATCGATAAACACCCGGTGACGCAAAGTGCGGCCATTTGGATGAAGGTAACCAGAGCAAAGTCCTAGAAACCCCGTTCAGCCCTTAGGTTATGTTTAGGATCCCCGACAAGAGCCGGAGTTGGGCTTAAAATTACAACAACAATCAAATTTGGCCCCTTATTGGGGCTAAACACTGTATTTATGGGTTGTAATGGGACAGACATCCAGGGGCTGTTGGGGTTGGTTCTGCAACGTCCTGTAAAGGATACGCAACTAACCAATGCGACAGATTGACTGACATACTGACTAGGATCCCCATCAGAATGGCACAACGAGCGACAAACACCCGGCGACATAAAATACCACCATCCATGTATGTTCAACTAGCTTACTTAACACTTTGTAAAGGAATATTTGAATAATTAGCAATAATAATCGTTGTGGGTGTTCATATGAATAAAAAGTTCTCTTTTGCTCTTCAATTTTCATTATTGTCATAATTACCATGGCAATCTTCTTCTTCTTCTTCTTCGCGTTCACCGACAGTAAACTCCCGTGGAAAGTTCTGGGTATTCTGCACTTCCGGACTCGTCCTGTTCCAGAACTTGAGTGTTGCATGCACATCCGTTTGACAGATTTGACGTATTTGTTTGCACACTTTTGCTTCCTTGCCCCTCAGGTAGATGCACTCCGACTTGGAACGAAGCTCCCAGTTAGTCGACTCCTACGACATGCTTTATGGTGGGAAATTGGCCTATTCTTCCCCCCCCCCCCAATAGGGCCCCGGAACCCACACGGGGAACCATGGCAAACATATTTTGGTCTGTGTAATTTGGGAATGCGAACATGTTTTAACATTTTGTGGACCTTTCGCAAAGTTTCCACAGGTTGTTATATTTATATTAAATGTAGCGAAATAATCAAGGACAACTGTATGGAAATATCATTAAGTTTCAGGGCTTTGAGTTGAAGTCGCCTGGTTTGTTTTGTGATCGATAAATTTTCCCGCCAAAGACTAGCACTCACTGTCAGAGAGAAACAGCTGATCACGTGTTCAAGTTGTCAACACAGAATCACGGGCATACAGTGGCCAGCTCACCTCCCCCCTTCCCCTCCCACCCCTTTCTCAGGTGAACGAAGTTATTGTCCAGCTGAAAGCTCAGTTCTGTGAGAACACCCTCTGCTTCTCAGTTTGCCTGCAAGAAAGTGTGATCTTAACAAGCTAACCAGGTAAAGTATCATTTATATTGTTATAAATTCAAGGTTTCCTTATAGATGTACTCTGCAAAATATATTTATAGGAAAATTATAGTTTAATTCTGTCGTTATGAACGTAAACTCCTAAACTTATTTTTCTTGTCTCAGATTTAATGCCGTTTTTGTTATGTTTATTTAAAACAGTCTGAACTGTGTTAAAACATAGTTTCTGTGCAGTTTTTTTGTGTGTTTTTATTTGGATTCCCGTGATTGCACTGAGTGATCGTATTTTCCATTTTATCTGTTTATACGGTAAGCAATAACCAGGTAGTTCTGTGTCTGTTACTGCTATATAGAAACACTATATAAGAGCTTGCCTTTTGAATTTGTTAGGTATTTTTTACAATGGACCAAGACTCGTGTTCAACCTATGGACACGTAGGTTGGTAGTGACACTGCCCAGGCGTGTTTTTTTCTGCCCTTATCTCCTAATGAATGGCAATGGAGCATAGATAGGCCTTATGTATTTGTTAAACTCTATGCTTTGCTACTGCATTTAGCTTAACGCATGTCTTCCATAATTTTCTTTCTAGCTCCTTTCTCTGTGTTTTTGGTCTGCATCATTCTATACCCTTGTGAGTTCTAGCACAAAAATATTCTAGTTAAAGTGTTCTCAGGTTTCACAGTGTCTCCTATCCAATGCCTGCATCTTTTCTTCACCTATTAACTGGATTTTTAGTTGCTTCCAAAGCTCAGCATTAGAGATTTTATCCTAACATTTCAATTATCTGTACAGATGACGCTGTGGTGAGGGGCAGACGAAGTGCATGGGGGTTCATAGCGGAGTCGAATGGACGTTGCTAAGTGCAGTGAAGCCTTGCATATGATATCACAACGTCTAGTTTGAGAATGGAGGTGAAGGCCGTCTCTGCTGCCTTCTGCTGGCTTGAGAGTCAGCTGTACACACATGCCGTGATTTTAACTGACTCACAAAGCATGCTGAGAAAGGTGAAGACAGGCATGCTTCGTGCAGAGTGGCAAGCTTCACTTTAGAGGTCCCGTATAGTTAGCATCCATTGGATATTTTCTCCAGGTGTTGGGAAATGAGCAGGCAGCTAGACTGGCCAGCTATGCACCACTTGGTAGTAATTGATGTATAACAAGCTAGATATTGTGCGGGCCTTCTGAGAATGAGTGAACATTGCAGATGCGCAGATAGATTATTGCCGTCTGAGGAGAATGACGCTGGGAGGAGTTACCAGGGGACGTGGCCGACACTCAGGGGAAGGAGGAGACGGATATAGTCAGATGGCTACTGCTGAAGATGGGGATGGAGGACTTGTCCAGAGTGCTGTGATATCGATTCTTAATTCAACATTTATAACATTTCATTGCCTGTATTCTGTTTAGGCACCAGTAAATGAATGTTTGTAGTTTATTGTTTTAGCTGTTCTCCATGGTTCCATTCTACTATTTGTCAACCAGACCTGCTGGAAATGTCTTGGAGTCATAAAAGCACGTAGCTCAGGACCTGACTCAGCCACACTTCTCCTAAAAGGAAGTTGGCTGCAATATATCTGCCACAGTCTCTTGATTGTATACTCTTGATTGCTGCTCACTGATCTACGTAAATTAATAAATAAATTAGTAACCTATGTAAAATATTTTTGTTCAAGATTTTTCCAAGAATTCCAGTGGGTTTGATCTATTGCTTTTCTTGTTTGATTTTAATAAGATACAGCTCACTGCATGTCATCTTTATCTGCTTCTGATTCTTCCAAAATGCCTGCCTTTTAATTTTGGCCTTGTTCATGCAGTTCATTATTAGGTTTTCCTATCTCCAGTTCAGCACATTTTTTTCTCCAACATTTTGATTCACTGGAAGTTTCTCTTCCAAAGCTGTACACCAGAACAAAATTCACTTTCAGCTGAACTTTACTTTGTTAGTTTAACAAAAAAATGTCTACATTGCATTTATTTCAGTGAAAAACTGAAATGGACAAGGATAAACCAGACAGTGAGGCAGATGATGAAGGATCTGATCATAGTTCTGGTGATGATCAGGCTATAGATGTTGATTCCGGTGATCATGGTCAGGCTACAGGTGCTGATTTTCCTTCAAGAGTCAGCACACTGAAACCACGTATAATTTTCGCAGATCAAAATCGGTTGCCAATTATAGGCTTTGAATTACCTGAGGTAAGTAGCTTCTACAGTTTATTATTTTATTACAATAACAATGAGCTATAAACAGGGGCTGAGTGGTTTCGATGCCTGGCATCTACCTCGAATGCTGGAGGTCCTGGGTTCAAGCCCTGGTGAAGGCTGGGATGTTTACACCTGGAATTCTAGTAATTTCCCCTGCTCTCTGGGTAGTAAGATTTTGCAATCTCTTGCTTAAAAGGTAGCAATGGCTATTATCAAAGTGTGTCAGTGCAGAAGGTCTTTGTCATCAATCCATGTTCTTCTAGATCATTGGTTCTCAACCTTCCTAATGCCATGACCCTCTAATGCCATGACCCTTTAATGCCATGACCCTTTAATGCCATGACCCTCTAATGCCATGACCCTTTAATGCCATGAACCTTTAATGCCATGACCCTTTAATGCCATGACCCTTTAATGCCATGACCCTTTAATGCACTTCCTTATGTTGTGGCGACCCCCAACCATAGTTATTTTCATTACTACTTCATAACTTCAATGAATATTTGTTTTGCGATGGTCTTTGGCGACACCTTAGAAAAGGTCCTTTGTCCCAAAAAGGGTAATTCGACCCCCCAAAAAAGGGTCGTGAACCATAGGTTAACCACTGTCCTAGAATGGCGTCTTCCTTATTGGCTCTGTTCCCATGTGGTGTATGTGTTGGTTGTTGTTGCAGTGACTGCATTTTAACAAGGTGACCAAATGATTTGATCTTCTGTTTCTCACTGAATCTTGTGCGGGGTGTCGTTCACAGTATCATTTCCTTGTCTTGAATGGTTAAAGAATTCTGTGACATTACATTGTTTCAACCTCATGTCTTTGAAGCCATTTAAAAACCATTTCCATGGTGCCGCATGTTACTGAAGTCAGTTACTTATGCTAGACAGTGCTTGAGAAATCCTACTAAATATACAAATTGCACTCCGTTACAGTATTTACATAAATCCCCATGTTGGTTCAGGGGCCTCATTGTGATTTTGGGGGGGGGGGGGGATAGACCCACTGATCCCTAGCAAGCATGTAATGAGAGTTCACCAATTAGGGGTGTTTCCTTTAAAGCTGAAGTGCATCAGACTGACAGCCAAGGAGCCAATAGTCTGCATACAAGTAAGCCAGATCTGTAAAATGGATGTGCAAAAAAGAGTGGAGAAGCGGGGTGGAGAAGCGGGGTGGAGAAGCGGGGTGGAGAAGCGGGGTGGAGAAGCGGGGTGGAGAAGCGGGGTGGAGAAGCGGGGTGGAGAAGCGGGGTGTCTGATTTCAGCAAACCCCATAATTAATCGCCTTTGACGACCTGCATCTTAGGGGGCATTGGATCTGTGTTTTTTTTCCCCCCAAAAGGGAACTCTGGAACCCACATGGGTCATGCGGGTCAGGGGTTCATTTCAGTCTGTTGGTTCATACGTGTGCAGTTGTTATAATCACTGGGAATTCTCGCTGGAGCTATATAGTTTATGCTTTGTCTGATGCTTTTAACCTGCAGCTGGTTTTCTGCATTCTGAGCCAGATGCCCTTACTTTGGTCACTTTTTATATTTTTTTAAATGGTACTGATTGTTAGAAATCAAAACAGAAAAAGGGGAGCTTTTGATTTTAAAGATTATGTAAACATGCTTAGTGTGGGCAAAGTGGAGTGTGGGCAAAGTGGAGTGTGGGCAAAGTGGAGTGTGGGCAAAGTGGAGTGTGGGCAAAGTGGAGTGTGGGCAAAGTGGAGAGTGGGCAAAGTGGAGAGTGGGCAAAGTGGAGAGTGGACAAAGTGGAGAGTGGGCAAAGTGGAGAGTGGGCAAAGTGGAGAGTGGGCAAAGTGGAGAGTGGGCAAAGTGGAGAGTCGGCAAAGTGGAGAGTCGGCAAAGTGGAGAGTCGGCAAAGTGGAGAGTCGGCAAAGTGGAGAGTCGGCAAAGTGGAGAGTCGGCAAAGTGGAGAGTCGGCAAAGTGGAGAGTCGGCAAAGTGGAGAGTCGGCAAAGTGGAGAGTCGGCAAAGTGGAGAGTCGGCAAAGTGGAGAGTCGGCAAAGTGGAGAGTCGGCAAAAAGTGGAGAGTCGGCAAAGTGGAGAGTCGGCAAAGTGGAGAGTTGGCAAAGTGGAGAGTCGGCAAAGTGGAGAGTCGGCAAAGTGGAGAGTCGGCAAAGTGGAGAGTCGGCAAAGTGGAGAGTCGGCAAAGTGGAGAGTCGGCAAAGTGGAGAGTCGGCAAAGTGGAGAGTCGGCAAAGTGGAGAGTCGGCAAAGTGGAGAGTCGGCAAAGTGGAGAGTCGGCAAAGTGGAGAGTCGGCAAAGTGGAGAGTCGGCAAAGTGGAGAGTCGGCAAAGTGGAGAGTCGGCAAAGTGGAGAGTCGGCAAAGTGGAGAGTCGGCAAAGTGGAGAGTCGGCAAAGTGGAGAGTCGGCAAAGTGGAGAGTCGGCAAAGTGGAGAGTCGGCAAAGTGGAGAGTCGGCAAAGTGGAGAGTCGGCAAAGTGGAGAGTCGGCAAAGTCGGCAAAGAGAGTCGGCAAAGTGGAGAGTCGGCAAAGTGGAGAGTCGGCAAAGTGGGAGAGTCGGCAAAGTGGAGAGTCGGCAAAGTGGAGAGTCGGCAAAGTGGAGAGTCGGCAAAGTGGAGAGTCGGCAAAGTGGAGAGTCGGCAAAGTGGAGAGTCGGCAAAGTGGAGAGTCGGCAAAGTGGAGAGTCGGCAAAGTGGAGAGTCGGCAAAGTGGAGAGTCGGCAAAGTGGAGAGTCGGCAAAGTGGAGAGTCGGCAAAGTGGAGAGTCGGCAAAGTGGAGAGTCGGCAAAGTGGAGAGTCGGCAAAGTGGAGAGTCGGCAAAGTGGAGAGTCGGCAAAGTGGAGAGTCGGCAAAGTGGAGAGTCGGCAAAGTGGAGAGTCGGCAAAGTGGAGAGTCGGCAAAGTGGAGAGTCGGCAAAGTGGAGAGTCGGCAAAGTGGAGAGTCGGCAAAGTGGAGAGTCGGCAAAGTGGAGAGTCGGCAAAGTGGAGAGTCGGCAAAGTGGAGAGTCGGCAAAGTGGAGAGTCGGCAAAGTGGAGAGTCGGCAAAGTGGAGAGTCGGCAAAGTGGAGAGTCGGCAAAAGTGGAGAGTCGGCAAAGTGGAGAGTCGGCAAAGTGGAGAGTCGGCAAAGTGGAGAGTCGGCAAAGTGGAGAGTCGGCAAAGTGGAGAGTCGGCAAAGTGGGAGAGTCGGCAAAGTGGAGAGTCGGCAAAGTGGAGAGTCGGCAAAGTGGAGAGTCGGCAAAGTGGAGAGTCGGCAAAGTGGAGAGTCGGCAAAGTGGAGAGTCGGCAAAGTGGAGAGTCGGCAAAGTGGAGAGTCGGCAAAGTGGAGAGTCGGCAAAGTGGAGAGTCGGCAAAGTGGAGAGTCGGCAAAGTGGAGAGTCGGCAAAGTGGAGAGTCAGCCCAGAGGGCAGTCAGCCCAGAGGGCAGAGAGAGAATCACCAAACAGTGACTAAAATAGGAAATAAGTGGATTAGGAAACGGAGCACAAAACAAACTGTAACATAGAGAGGCCTGAGGTGCTGTACTGAATTTCCTCTGATAGAAGAAATAATTGCACAGGATAGAAAGTAAAGACTGATCCATATGTAACGTATGAACAGCACAGTAAGACAGCTTCTGGAAGAGATAGGGGCCAGTCAACACAGCAGGGGTTACAGGGTATGAAAAAATACTCTAGACATACAAGTGAGATAGATCAGAAATGCAAATAGTCTTGTCTTTTTAGTTGGGTGTGATGTGGGACAGATGCACACTAAGTTCATTTTCTTCTTAGCATTCATTGGCTCTAAACTCTGGCAGAGAGTTGTGGTTATTTGTCCACTTCTAGGCATTGGTTTTGTTCCAAAACTTTTGTGTGTGCACATCATTTTACAGATGTGACTTATTTCTACTCAGACTGTTGCTTCCTCATCTCTCAGGCAAAGGGACTCTTGACTTTGAAGGAAACAACCTTAATTTGCCCCCCCCCCCCTCCCACTTTACAATTGGGATCCAAAAACCACACAGTGTGACCTGAACTGCCCAACTTTGAAAGCTTTACACTGCAGTATATTACACTGCTGTTTTGGAATTTTATAGGGTGTGTGCCAGGTTTCTTCTATATTGTGACTCATACATTTCTGTCTGAAAGCCAAACAAGTCTTTTTAAAAACTGGCCACCACATAAAACTCTTGTATGTGGAGAAATAAAAAAAGAACTGTAATTATTTGTTTTGCCATTTCTTTCTAGTTGCCAGATAAAAAACTTCATTTTATGCCAAACCATTACCCAAAATATGCCAGAAAATGCCAAATTATAACATTGTACCCATTTTACATTAAAAAGCTTGAGATTGAATTCTTCACTGTCACCCTCACTGGAACCAGTGGAAGATACAGCGTAAACCTTTTGAGATGTAAAATCTTTAAGCATTTTCTCATGTGGGATGAAGTCTTTGCAACTCATCTATAATGGCATATTTTTTGTTCCGAAAATCAGTAAGGTCATCCCTAAGTGCAGACAATATAATTTTTTATTAGGCATGAACATTTCATTATATGCAACTGTATGTGCTCCAATGTACTCCCCCGACCATGCGCTCTCAAGATTCAACTTAGATGATCAATTGTGCATATTGCACAATGGCAGATCATGCTTACAGCAAGTTGCAACTCTGATGCCTTTAACTTTAACATTACTTTGCCTAAAAGTCATTGTTGTAATAAGCTATGGCTGGCTTTTTGACAGAATTTCCATCCTGTGTTTTTCGGATTTTTCATGATTTGATATGTTACTAATTCTTGGTGCAACAATGTACTGACAGTTTACAATATGATGCCTCTGATCCGTCTGAAGATCTTTTGAGCCTTGGGTATGTTTTCTTCCATTTACTATTATACTTGCAATGTCATAAGATGCTTTCCATTTTTTGGATGACGTGGCAATTGGTAAAAGTAATAAAATCTATCACAGATAGAACTAGGTCTATATCCTCTCTATTTTTTGTCCTCATGTAGTTTGCAAACAGTCTAAATCACTTTGTATCAGTGGTGGGATTTGTTTTATATCCCGCATTTATTCTTGTAGATCAACATAAATTACAGAGGACCTTGGTTTGTTGAAGTCACGATCCATTTAGGAAGACACAAATACAATAAGAAATCTCCATTAGTCCGTACCAGGACATCACAACAAAGTCAAACTGAAATAAAGATGTTAACTATAGGTCTACATTGCTTTTAGTAAATCTGCATGTTTCTAACGGAGGAACCATTAACAAAATGTGAGCACATCTTGATAAGAAAAGCAAGAAACCCAAATATGCCAAAATATGCCACTTCATTATCTAATGCCAGTTTAATTTCAAATATGCCAAATTTGTGGAATCTAGCATCGAAAATGCAAATATGGCAACCCTGGTTCAGCTTGGTATATACCATGTTTTGATGCGAAAACGTTTGCCTGGTATACAAGCTCTGTTCTGATTACAATTTGTGTGCTAAAATTTGTATCTTTGAAAATTAGTCAGACACCGCACCATATCTTTATCTCTTGAGATAAGCCACGGATAGATGTCAATGAATTACCAGGAGCATATCACCCTAACAAAGCCCTAACAAGCTGTAATGACATTGTCTGGAATGACCAGACCTTGTTATATTTACAAAACAGGAAAAGACAGAAGCAAATTTTTTTTGGGTATATTTTTAGTAAAAGCCAAACCTGATGAGCCTCAGTCAGGTCCAGGTAACGAAGAAAGAAGGAAAAAAAAAACCAGAACACCTCTCTTCTAAGAACCATCATGTCCGTGTGTGTTCCTGGGCCCCACTGTGGGGCAAACAAGAATAGACCCATTGCCTCCACAACAATCATGTTGTAGGAGCCGACTAATTAGGGGCTTCCTTTGAAGCCAAAGTGCATCTGCTCGAGTGGCAAGGAACAACCAACTTCACACAAATCAGCCAGTAAAGTGGCTGTAACACAAAGCTCAGGCCCTAGCTCCAAGCCAAAGTCCAGATGGATAAACGACCAAGACTTGCCGCTGGAGCTTACAATGCACCTCAAAGCAGCAGCAGCACCACCACCATCCTGTTTGTTTTAGTATCCAAAAGCCATGAGTTGTTAACCCTTAGGCTCGGTTTTATGGAGATCGCAACCTTTCGGCCTTGATTCCATTGTAAATACCGTAAATCTGGGAGAAATGTTGCTTTTCTGCCTACCCCTGGGAGTGAACACGGACCACTAGGAGTTGTCACCTGGTCACCTCGCAATCCGGTTTAGCCAACTACGCTAGAGAGCTGGGCGCACCACCATCCTATTAGGCACTGGACTCTACTCAGCAAGGTTAACTGAAGTTAAACTGTCATTTATTTCATTTGCTTTTATATTTATGTATTTTAGTATTAGGCAGTGTATAAATTATTTTATGCAGCCCCATAAGTGTACAGCATAATATACCAAAAATAGGATTTTTTTAATGGGAATGGATTAATCTCTGTATTTTCTATGGGAAACTACATCTGGTATACGTACTGTTTGGTGTATGTCCAAGGATCAAAACTGGATTAGGTACATATATCGAAGTATATTAAACATTTTGTTTTTTGTTTGTTTGGTAGAGCGAATCTGATGAGCCAGCATTTCGCCCACACGTGACTGGAACCAAGGATGTTTTAGATGACAAAGGTCTGGATACCTCACCTCACCCAGATTATCCCCATGGTAACCTTGAAAATCTTCCTTCGCAGAATTCAGAGAAAAATGTGTCTGTAATTAGGGAGGGCAATACTGCATTGTTTGATAATGATCTGGCTGCTTTTCGTTCAACAATGACATCTCTAATTGAAGATTATACCCAGAAATGGAGGAAACTGATGCAGAACATGGCAAATTCAGCATCAGAAGTAGAAATGCGGAAGGCAGCAGAATTGAGATCTCAAGAGCTAAGACGCAGTTCTGAAGCTGAAAGTAGAAAAAAATTGTCTATGATACAGGGTGTCCAATGGTATAGACTGGTGCAGAAGATGGAAGAATCATCACATGAAGAAACTCCGGAAGCAGCAGATTTGAGAAAAGCGAGGGCAGTAAGGCGTGCTGCTGAAGCTGAAAGTAAAACTAAAAAAAAATCGTCTAAGATACAGGGTGCTGACTGGTATAGACTAGTGCAGAAAATGGAGGATTCATCATTTAAAGAAACTGAGGAAGCAGCAGATTTGAGAAGAGCTCAGGCACTAAGACCTGGTACTGAAGCTGAAAGGAGTGCAGAAAAATTGTCTGTAACACAGGATACTGCTAGTGAGGAAAAAACCAGTGAGACCAGTGACAGTACACACTTCAGAACTGAGGATGATAACACAGA